AAATACTGTGTCTATCCTCTATTTCATACAAATTTTGAGAAAAATCTACAAACTACATCAATGTCTTCGCAAGTGCCATAAATTTATAATTGGTTCATATAAAAGAGTTGCTGTATATACCACCTGTTAAACCACAGGAAGGTTGAGACTGCTACACAATTTTCACTTGCGCAAGAAAGTAATAATTTGTTTTGAAAGGCTGGGTGTTTCTATCACAAAATTTTACAAGGAAGATATCTATTTTTCAGATATCTAAAACCTTAGACCTCAGATATGACAAGTCTCATCTTAGAGATAAACTGTGACTGACTTTATATTAATGCATACTAGGGCCTCCTCCTTCCCCTCCAAGTAGAGAAATGTCACATTGCAAACCTTGCATATAGAATGCAAAAGAACTCCCCTCACACACATGCAATTGCTGTTTAAGATTTGGTCCTCAAAAGTTCTGAAACAGGCTCCCTGTTTCTCTAATAGTTTGGACCCTCCCTGTCCTACCTTTCATGCATACAAGCATTTCCTGCACCCTGGTTTGCCCCAAGCCCCTAAATTCCAACCTCCAGACCTTCCTGTTTATTCCTGGGGAATAAAACTATCCCATACTGTTTATCAACAATAGCTACATGAACTTCTCATTTCAGATCCTGCATCTTAGTTCCTGGCAGAGCCTCCCTGCATCTTTTCACTGTCTATTTGACTTTCTGCATTTCTAACCTGTACCTTTCTTCCCCAAGAATGCTAGTGCCCTCCATGTACAAAGAGCTCAGCTGGGGATCCACTATTCCTTCCTGCAAGCCAAAACACAGCTGGATTTCCCTAACTGATATCTTTGAGCTTCCTGTGAAAAGGAAACAAACTCTGCCTGCGGTGCATCAGCCACACGACATCCTCCCGGCTCAGCTCTGCTTGCACTGCAAAGGGGAAGTAGAAGTGATGGGCAGTAGGTCTTGCCCAGCCAATACTCACAGCAACACATGCACTGTAAGAACTAGACCCATAGCTTTGGTCTTTTAAGACTTTCATTTCCTTGACCCTATTGCCTAGAAATAAGTAAGGACTTTTAGAGGGAGTTGGACAGAAAGAAAAGGGAAGAGACAAAGACCAGAAGTAATATTCCTGTACATTCCTGCCTCCCTGGTCTGTTTGCCATCTTTGTGTAATGTAAGCCCAATACAGAGGGGCCTCCTGCCAGTTACAGAAATGTTGCTTGAACGCAACAGTCTTCGAAAGGTCCTGCCAAAATGCAGCTGTAGAGCAGACCTGAATACACCCAGTGTATCCTGCAGTTCTTTCAAACTTTTCCTTGTCCAGTCAATGAGATTTCACTGAGTCATGTGACAGATGTCCTCCCTTCCCAGCCATCCACTGCAATGCAGCACTAGCACACACGGGCACCTGGGAGTTGGTGTTCAAGGCCATACTCAGGCACATCCTCCCTAGCTCCTGTGCAGCACCATAGCCTTTCTCCAGCTCCTGGACCTGGCACAAGATACAAGCAGCTGGGGAGAGACAGCAGGTTTGTCCACCTATGATTCCAAAGTAAAAAAGAAACACAATGCTGTTCTGGGAATGAGGTCGTTTGAACTGCAGTAATTCAAAACAAATATAAAATTAGTGGATATTTTACATGAGGTGTAAGGCTTGACTGGTTTCACTAGTACACCCCTGAAATACATCTGAAAGTAGAATGACTTTCCAGGTAAGAAAGTGAAGGAAGAATTCTGTAACGGACAAGGTCCTGCAGAACTTTATCCAGAGCTCACCCTGGCATAGGTATACATATAAATCACACCCTTACAGGGAACCAAAACTGAGCAGCACAAAGGCTTAAGGGATTAAAGACTTATTCTGGAGATTGGAGTTATTCCTGGCGCAGTCACCAGCCCCAATTCACCTCTCAACATCTCAATTTTATCTTAAAACTGGCAATAATCAGTGCTCAACAACAGGCAGCACAAAGCATTGTGCCCAGCTATCATCACCTTTTTTTTTGTATTTCTATTAAAAAGATCATTGTAAAATGTGACCCCTTCACCCTATTCCTAAAATTTTTCACATGTAAAATGTAGCCCTTCCCCTAGAAATGTAATACTTCAGAAGCACTACTTTAATAAATAATGTGAAATCTGAAGTAGGCTGTCCTGAGTGAATCTCACTGTTACAAACATCAACAGAGCGCTTCCTTCCAATTTTATTTACTCTAGCTCCAAAAGATGCCTTAACACAACGCCATCACCAAGCTCACTGATCTATCTTCGCTCCCCATTCTTAAGTCGATGGGGAGACATGGGAAGAGCACACATGCTCTATTTTCTGTTTCACAGCCCTGGGAAGCTTGAAGGTAGGACAAGGAGCCAGACCACAGAAGCAGCTGCTTCCCAGTGGAGCAATTCCAACATGGCTGCTCTTTCCAGAAAGGAGGGGGAATGGAGAAGGGCAAAAAGTCAGAAGGGAATTTCCCCTGCACTGAAATTTTCTCTCCATGAAGAGGTATACAAATACATAGTCTACAGGCACAATTCACAGGATCTGGCAAGTTTGCTTTATACAGGAAGCAAACATCTTTTTAAGTTTTAATGACAATCTAACTTTGGTATAAAAACTAGGCATCTTTCAGGTTTTATGGAAGTTTTGTGTTTGCAGATTGATCTTTTATAGAGTCTTGCTGAACTGTGATTCACATTTACTTTAGCAGAATTCAAAAAATGGTCGCATCTATAAATTATTGTATTTTCTAACTTGGTATCTCAAACATCTATTATTTAAGGCTTTTCATTAAATTTTCAAGATGTGCAAATAACGTATACAAACTTTGAAGATACACAAGCCCTCTGAAATTTGTGCTTCTATATAAATATGCTTGTAGATACTTAAATATTGCAGTCATAAATTTATTTTCTCTTATGTTGCATGTGTCATGAACACTTGCCTACATGAACAACAAGAATGCCAAAAAATCTCCTAAGTCTGGCCAGAAGTGCAGTATTTATACTTGAATTAAAATGAATTCCATGTGCAAGCTAAAGTAGCACTCCATCAATAAAAATTTCAACCACTGTCTGTGGTATGGCACTGAGGCATCTCTTTTCAGCTTTATCTGACACTAGGGATTTCTTGCTTTACGTAGCTAAGAATCAACAGAGAACTATTTTAAGAATATCTTCAAGTACTTTGTTTAATTTACATCTAATTTAAAGAACTATTGGAAGACTCGGGTGTGCATGAATACATAAACAAGTATACATTTGAATTTTCATAACAAAACTTCTTCATATGATAGAATTTTGTATTATAAACACTTCTTAACAGGTACTCACAATTTGATCAAAAATGCTCCCCTTTCTTTTTCTCGTTCTAAGCCATTAAGTAATTTTGGTTGTTGACAGCTGGAACAAAATATACTCATTTCTAAAACAGAGGAGCATGAAAAATATATTTTCCTATTTGCCATTCTCATTCTTCATTCAGAAGAGGTTTCATGCAAGCATAGATATGTTTCAGTATTCAGTCAGGTCCAATACTAAACTCTAAACATGACTACACGAAGGGTCTAGAGAGGAAAGGGAGTCTGAGAATTATGGAACCAGGAGAGAAGAGTCAGTAAAGAGGGTGGTCCATAGATGGGCCAATGAAAAGATTTCTGGGAGTTCATCAACAGTAATGAATTTCAAGATTCTCTCCAGGAGGACCTTGGGTCTTTACTAAAAAGTAGCATGGTTATTTCTCTGAGCTCTCAGAAAAGTACAAAGAGGTGGTCCATAAGACAGACAGAAGCAAGCTATTAGTAGACTGAAAGATTTGAAAAGAACACCTTGAACTGTAATTATATGCAAATGAAAACAATTGTATCATGCAAAATGTACATATAGTATGTTTAGCTTTAGCAGATAGCTGAGCAAGTTAAATGCTGAATGTTACACCAGATTCCACTTGCAAAGGGTTATTTTAGCATAGCCAAAATGCCAAGAATATAGAGGTCCGACCTAGAAAATAAAAGGCAAAGAGAATTGTAGAAAGATTTGTATTATCCATGCTTTTCTGTGTCTCTTTGGCTACAGCCACTAGGATAGGCCCCACACACATGAACTGAGAACAAGCAGTGTGAGTGCACTGAAAACTGTTTAAAAGACTAAGTTACTCTTCTACAATGGTTAAAGGACTGGAAGGAGCCAAAGTTTTGTTTATTCCTCACAAGTATTTCTGCTGTACCAAATGCCAGCACTATCATTTTATCAGTCGGATGTGTATACTCTGTAGTTGTACTCAAAAAAACAAATAAACCAGCGCTTTTATTAGTAACTTACAGTACATGAATTCCAGTACAAACTTGTAAAGGAATTTCTCCTGAGGGAAAAACATAATTAGTTTTAGAGTTTTCCAGAATAGTAGGGTTGTTGGCTTTTTACGTGTTTCAGACATACACAGAATTCTAAACATCTATATTTATAGGTTCCAAAAGATTTTCAACAAGTCTGTGTAAAAAAGCTTTTTTTTTTTGTTTTAGAGGATGCCTGTGTATCATACATTTTCTTGTCCACTAACAGCATCTACCCAGACACAAGACCACGTTAGAATTACTTCAGTCATGCATTAATCATAGTTGATGAAAGACTTTAGGCAAGTATTCAGTTTTAATAAAAACTCTTGAAAGTTACTATCCACATAAAGAAATATCTTGGAAAGTTTCGCCCAAAAAGCAAAACAGAAACCTAATAATTAATAAAGAAATTATACCATCTTAAGGTTTAAATAACACTGAACAGATGGTTTAATCTAAGGGTCTATATAAGCCAAAAATAGCAGATTAAGAAAATGCAGGAGAAATGGGTGTGTGATAGGAAAGTCCACAGTTCCAGGATTTGAACATACTACATAGCAAGGCTATTCTAAAATACATGGAAGGTAGAAAGGATGAGGAGCTGGTCTGGTGTCCTCAGATGTAGAAGGTAAAGAGTAGCTTTTTTTTTTTTTTATGAAATTTATCAGTGCTTCTTATGTACCTTTAAATATTTTGCAAGTTTCTGAATTCCCCAGTATTCTGAGGGCAAATCAGTGTTTCCTTCCTGATGACGTACAGGCTGTTCTTCATCCTCCTCAGTCTCTGAGGAACTTTCACTAACATCTTCAAACCTGCCTGATGTCTTACTAAAAATAAATAAACAGCATCACCCATTTTAAACAGCTATAAACTAATATGAACAAGCACATTTTAAACAGGTATGGCAACACTGTCTAGTAATAGAATAGAAAAATATAATTGACATTGCCAAATACTAAGTATGGTGATAATTACTGTACATATGGAAAATAAAAATTAAAAAATTGAAGGAAGAAAGATAAGTAACCCATACCATTTTGAAGCTAGTTGTATTTTAACAGATTCAGAAGAAATGCCACTGGCTTTCTTTTTGATTTTCAGAGACACAGTACTACTTCTCCCTTCTTCTTCAGTACTTTTTTTTGCGGCCTTGTCACTAAAATATTTGTTTTTATTTAAAAAAAATTATTATATATATACATAGAATCAAAAAGCTATGATTGGACACATATTATGTCAGTACATATGAGCTTATGAACCTACACAATAAACTTCATTAAACAGAAAGTATGCTGTGTCTTAAGTGACTAATTTTGCTTTAATAAAATAGTGGAATATTAGAAAAATTATATTATGCTGACCTGTATGTGACACAAGAACAAAGAATGAGTATATGCAGACAGACCACAGGTCCATTTATCCTAGAATACCATCTCCAACCATGACCAATAGCAGCTATGTAGGTAACAGCAGAAGAACAATAGAAGAACTCGGAAATTATTTTTTCCAGAATATTCTTCAGCACATTGTGATTCAGGGAACTCCTGATCATCCTTGCATTAACAATTTTGGATGGATTTTTCTTCCATGAATGTGTCTTGTTGCTTTTTGAACTCACATAAACAAATGGCCTCTACCATCCTGTGGCAAAGAATTTTAGAGCTTAGCCATGTGTTGTATGAAGAGGCTTCTCCCTTTGTTCTGAACCGGTCTCACTGGCTCATTTTCATTTGATGCCCTTTGTTCTTCTACTAGAATGGACAGTGTCTATCTGCTCCCTATTTACCATCTCCAGTCATGATTTTTTGTATCTGTCTTATTGTCCCCCAGACATATTTTTTCCAGGCAGAAGAGTTCTGGTCTGCCTAGTTCTTCCACACAGTGAGCTGTTCCATAGCTTTGATCATGCTGAATACAATATATCTTGCTTTCCTCATATTCCAAGAAGACTTCTAGGCCTAACTGGGCACAATCTCTGGTGCTTTTTTGGCCCTAATTTACAATGTTGTGAAAACAAAATGTCCTTTCAAGCCTGGGCTGGTCATACTATACAGTCACAACAATAAAAGAGAATACTACTCATGATTACAGCCAATTTCGCTACATCTAGACTCTAACAATGACTGTGGAAAAAGATAAACTCTTGTCTCCGGAAAACCACGTTTTTTTAACTGATGACTGTAGGTCACACCCAAAATCTCTTAAAGTGTTTCTTGCAGTATGTCAGATTGGCAGACTTGAGAAGATACTGACTTTTTTTTGTAGGATGACAATCAAAGTCTTTCCTTCATTCTTCTTCCTCCATTAACACAAAATCAGGAAACATGAAATCAGAACAGAGTTCTGATTTCAGAAGAAAAATCCAACAATATCCAATGTATGTATAGTGTATTTTTGGGTGTCCAAACTTTGAGATAATCTCAACAGTGAAGACTGTTGCTAAGCAGAGCTAGAAACGTGGCTCATGTAATATGAAATCATTAAAAATTGGTCGTATAAATAATAGTCATCCTGATTTTCCATCCTGGATCTCTTTTGCCTCCCTCAGAAAGTGTGGTTTAGATTAGATTGTCTACTCTGTCTTGCTTTAAAGGGCATTTTACACCACAAGTATGATAATATCACAGTCCTGGAGGACCAGTACTGCAAATGGTTGCAAGATATTTCTCTGCCTTGCTGTGGAAATGACATAACATCATCAAAGTTGTTGCATGACAGAAGAAAACAGAGAAATCTCTTTGGTAGTCTGTACTCTCTTCTTAGAAATTAACATGTAGTAAATTTTGTTTTATTGCTCCTAACTTAAGATAATAATGCAAACCTATAACATGCAGTCCAATCATTAGCACAGTTTAGAGAGATCTATAGGAAAATTCAATTATAAAGACAACTACTTATCTGTGGGAAGCAGAAAGCCCAATATTCTTCCACTTCATAGATGGTTCTAATTTCTTCTTGTCAATGGATCTCCTTCTTGCTACAGAATTTTTCACTTTCTCACATACATTCTTTTCGGTAAAATCATAAAGGTTCTGGGATTGGCCAGGGACCTTAGCATAAACTACTTCCATACATTGATAATTCTTCTCATATGTTGGTTCCTCAAAAAAATTATATTCCTAATAAAAGAAGGAGACATGGTTTGTCAGTCATACTGCTATATGAATAATGCATATTAAAACAATAAGTTATAAGTACAATTCCAGGATGCTGTGCTTAAAAATTGTATGTATTAAATGTAGAATTAGATTATAAGGATAAAATCATATTGCCTTTAAAAGAATGAAACATTAATCTGGAAAGTAGCTGTTACCGTGTGCAAATTAAAGTTTTTGAAATAACTGAACTAGCTAAATTTGGAACTTCCTGAACATACTTGAATGTTGGGTGTTGTTCAATTTCTAGTATGTTAAATAATTTGTGACACAAGCACTTTTATAGAACCTAATTCCAAATGAGTTTTAAGATCTAGAATTGCAAAGTCAGTCATTCTGCCGTCAATGGATCATTCATATAAAAACTATTTCCCTGCATAAAGGATTTACAAAAAATTCCCACAAGAAAATAATGAACATAAAACTGGAAATAGGCTATGATAAACTGCTAGACTTCAGTTCCAAGTAATTTAATTTGATATAGTTTAGAATTAATATAAACACATTCCATTTCAGTTTTTTCATCTTCTGTTTCTCAGAACAAAACATTGTTGAACAAGTCACATACAAGAATGGAGATGAGTGGCACCTACCAATCCTTCAGCTGTCTGTGTCTAGTACCATGGCTGATCAAAAATATCCAGAACAGAAAGGACTCTTGTCAACTCTCATTCTCTACTGGAACATATTCAATTTTTACAGGAAAGACAGCATACAATCATTACTTACTATTATTATTGCAGCTGTCACTACCAGATAGGTGAAGACATTCCTTTATCTATCTGATTCAAGGCAGTTTTAAGGAGTCTTAAGAGACTTTAAGGAGACTTAGGAGACAGTATGGTCTGTTTTCGACCAGTCCCTGATGTGAATCGTCTGTTCCAGGCTTGCTGACCCAACTGTCTAATCATAAACTAACACATGCTAATTCTCTCATTCTGAAAATGTACTCTAGACAAGACAATTTAAAACATGATAAACTAGACAAATCACAGGGGAATTGATGATGTAGCTTGACCAGCTAAGCACATGTTAAAAAGTATGTTTCCTACAGCACTGTATGCCAACGCAGCAATTCTAAATGTTAGCTTAAACAAGGCCAAGAAGATATTATAAAAGTTAATTGGGTTTGTAATATATGTGTATGTAATGAGCTTTCTGAAGCTCTCCTCTCCTCAGAAAGTAAATCAAAACTATTTCCAGTCATAATTTATTTCATGTAGGCAACTTGGAAATACAGCTTTTCCCTGCTTTTCAGAGTTCTAGAGTAGAGAAGATTTTCCCTCAAATACAAATGCTCTGCAGCTCTACAGTATTAACTTGTTTAAATTCTAGTTTTAGAATGCAGAATGTACTAAACCAGCTCTTCAGCAAGGCAATATGATATGATATTCCTAAACCTTAAAATGGTATAATTTATACTCTTCAGCATAAACTTATTTATACAGTCAGGGAATACTGAGTAAGTGATTTACATGACAATTGAAGGAAAACAGGATAAATTCTATTCATTTACTCTTATTTAATAAGTGTACACATTTCTTGAATAGCTACAGTATCTTTATAAGAGCAGAAAACCAGTAAAGAAAGGTATGTTATCTCTATTACTGATATTAACATTAATCTATATTAACATTTAGGATTAGAACTGTAAAACATTATTAAAATATTATCATTTTACCGTTCATGACCATCAAATGAAGCCAAATCACTCTGAAAATACATTAAACCAGTAATTATGTCTAAAAGCATTCATGTATTGTCACATTTGTGAAATGTAAACCGATATGTAGATAAAACATTAAAAAAAACCTTGCCTATGGGATAAATAAAACACATTTTGGAACTTACTGCACTTTCAAACAGAACAACTTACAAATTTAATTCCATTACTGTTAATATAAGCTACTGTACTTATGTGTACAACTTGAAATGCTCTGTTCTTTCAGAACTGTCAAATATCTATATCTCAAAGAAAATAAATATCAGCCCTACCTCCCAGAAAATCAAAACTGAAGGATAAGAAAATTTCCCTGTTAATGACTTCCTTCTTGCAATAATTAAAATTGCATATAAATAGCCACAATAAAACTTTTGACAGGTTTCAGCCTGTAATGAATTTTACCGCCAAGTTATTAATCTGTTATAACCACACTATAAATCTGAAAAAAGAGTTTTTATCAGGAATGATGAAACAACTAAAATTGTAGTAGCACTATGTGATTCTAGCTAATAAAGAGCTCTAAATAAAAGCCAAAACACTTGCATTTTGCAATGGCTGAGGCAACATTTTGTGTGTAAGCTGGATGTTTAACTCTCAGCTCTGATATTTAAATCAGGCAGTTCTCATAAAAAAGTTGGGCTATTATTTATATTTGGGTTACAAAGAATGAAGATAAAAATTTAAGTGGTTTTGATCACAGAAAAATATTGTCATAAAAAGCTGACCTCTTCTGTAAGGATATCATATTTTCCTGCTTTAACATTTCCAGTGCTCCACGAAGAATAATAACGGAAGATGAGCAAAATTTCTTATGCAAAATTAGAAGCTGACTTCACATACTGGATCAAACCTCATAATAAGGTATGATAGAACAATACTTGAAATAGTATATTATTTGCTATTTACAAAATGAATATATTTAGTAGAAACTGAAACAAATCCAAAGAAAAATAGTAAATACATTTCAGAGTCTTTAAAATTCTTCATTTAATCACAGATTTATCTTTGATAAAGAACATAAACATTCAGCCAGGTTTATAATGTAATTCTTAGCAATGTACAAGGTACGCTTGTAAAAAGTAGAATTTACACCCAGTATCAGTAAATACATACCTGTTTAGCCATATTTTCTACAAATCTAGGTGATCTCTCCCTTAAAAATGTGACAATATCTTTATATACATCACTTTTTCTTTCATAGTCAATGCCATCTTTACCATTTATCTCACCCTTAAAAAAAGAATAAATTTAAAATTATTAATAGTATTGCCTTACACAGGTAATTTAATCTGCATCATAAAATACTGCTAAAGAGCACAGAGGTCATACTATAATGAATTATGTACAGAAGTCTCATGCTCAGCACAGAGTCCATCAAACTTCAATAACGCTTTATAGAGATGCATGGATCATCTCCATGGATCCCAACAGATAATCAAGATCTTACATAGAATTCTGCAAGTAATTACTATCAGTTAATTGTACTGTGGGTAGTTCCACTGAAAAGAATTTATGCCTAATGGCAAACAACCAAGTAAATACGAGCTTCCAGTGCAGTATGGCAGATGTCTAAAATCACAGAAAATAATGTGACCTGACTGAGCTTCATCCATTAATAACGTGCTAAGTCAAAATTTCCCTGGATTTTTTAACTCTTAGGAAATCAGTTTGTGGAGTTACACCTGACGGACATCAGTCTCTCTTCAACATGAATATAAGAGCTCTGGTCACTGCTTAAAATACATAGTGGGGACTATTATGTCTAAATAACATCTGTAAGGAAAGAGGTAACCAAAATGAAAAGTAGAAGAAAAGAGATACTTTTAAAAAAACTTCCACTGAAGGGAGAAAGAACTGCTTATCATTTATAAAAAGACAAAAGCAAGCTATATTAGCCACACAATAATATTGCACCTCAGATCAAGAGCAATGAGGCACTAGAGAGGCATCTATTCCCACAGTACCTTTAAACAGGAATAGTGTGAAGGACTGTTAGGACATCTTTAAAGACTAAACAAACACTGTTAGCAAAAAGTGCAGAATACACTCCTAGTATAAAACTTATAGAAAAAGCACTCAAAACATATGGGAAAACTAGCATACATTTATTAGTGTGTCTTCTCCTTCTGTACCTATAAACTAACTCTGCAGGTCTTACAGCCTCAACACCACTACCCTAAACCTGATGGATTTTTGATTTTAGCACATAAAAATATTCATTACTCCATGGTATCCTTTATTATTACTTACTCCATTTAAAAACACTCCTGCTGTGCTGCAAGTGATATACAAAGGATCAGTGTCATGTGGTTTGATGACTAAGTAACAAATTTCTCCATGCACTTGTCTCCAGGGAGGAGCTCGGCATCCATTAGAGAATGTGTAATCTGTAACCAATTAGCATTAGTGTTTTTATCCAGTTTAAAAGTATTTTTAATAGTTATGCTTGATGATAAATACAACATGCATACAAATGAAATTCCCAGAACAATTCCTTATTCTTAAGAATTCATAGTGTTAGGAATTAATCATGCAAAGCTCTGTGACGCGTGGCCCCGTGCAACTGTGCTTAGCACTTTTCAGGATCAGGGACTCAGTTCACTTCCTCTACTTCCACTGAAGAAATTCATATGATCGGAGATTATTTCTATAACTAAAGGCTGAAGAACAACATTCCATATCTGAAAATACTTTTTATTTTACTTTATAACTTTAAAGTAGAAATAAACACTTCAAATTTATTACTGAAATTAATTTAGCAAATTTCACACAGAAGTCAAGTACTTTAATAAAGGTATATATAAACGTGAGATATGATCAGATTTGGACCTGATGTATATTTCAGTGATTCCAGTACTGTATCTTCTCCTTCCCCAGAGAAATTCTTGAGAAGATTCACTTCATTATTTATAGCAGCTGGATTTAGTCTTACGTCTCTGCAATGAATAGAAAATGGACTAAAATGTATTCATCAAAAGGATGTATTCAGAGAAATGAAAAGACTCTTAATAGTAGCAACAAAATCTGCAAATGGTTCATCTCCCATTGTTTTTCTTTATTTTATCTGTTAGCTTAGTAAAATTTTAGTTCCATAACTAATATGAAGTCCTTGTAACTACAAAACAGACTCAATGTAATACTTAATATGCTTCCATGAAGAAATAAACATTTCCTTGAAAATATTTAACTGTAACTTTGTTGTTTGTACAAATGACTTCAATTTGCTACCAAAACACGAAACATATGCAATAAAAAACCACACTCACGGGCACACACTTGCATACTCACACCTACAGCAAAATCTTCAGAAAAAAAATGTTTTTTCAATAACTTAGTGAACAGTAAAAGTTATTTTTATGTCACACCAAAAGCACATGTTGTGGTTTGAAACCAATCTGATTTAACAATAAAACACAAAAATGCACTGGTTGACATGCTTAGTTTCCATTTGAAATGCACTTACTGTGAAATGTGTTTCAAAGAACTATTAAGCAGTTGCAAATCCAGCTGATGAAGAAGAAGAAAGATTCTCATTTTCATCTCTGTTTCAGGGTCATCATCTTTTTTCACTTTGTCAAATAAATGCAACATGGACATATCTTCTCCTTCAACAGTCCCATATTCAGGGCCAAGAATTTTCACTATAGGATCTCTGTTAGCTGTAAACATGAAACAGAATCATATAATGTGATACTATACTCTAACAATGTGCATAGTTATTCATCAAATATTACTGTATGATGTATTGTTTCATAGCCCTCTGTTGTAATTTGAAATGCACTTTTAAAAATATGAAAACATTAAGAACAAAAAGAAATTTTTCATAACAAACAAAATTGCTTTTCACAACAAAGATTAAGATTCATTCAACCAAGAGGTGAATATTAAATACTTCCCTTTATCAACAGTCCCCTTTCCAGAATATATGCCTGGCTGATCACCAAAACAGGAAATCAATGGGTTTAACTCACTCAAAATTGATAATTTTGGAAATATGATTTAGTGATAAACAACATCTTTAAAGTTTTCTAACAGCATTCCCAATGGCCCCATTACTTCCTCAGCTATGCCAGCTGTTCTTTTTGGTAAACAGTGACATAACTGCATGTCAATGGGTTTTACAAAAACATTTTGCTCTATTCCTGCAAATGAAGTCCCATGCATCTGTGAACGCCTTTGCACAATGCCCTATCCATACTGTTCCTCCCTATTATTCATGGTTGATCACTGTCAGTGACAGGACCCTGGCTTAGATGGATCTGAAGTTTAATCCAGTATGAGCATTTATATTTTAGTATTGCAGATGCAATTTCTATTAATATTACCAAAGAATATTACTAATCTCTTCTACCTCCAATGAGAGGAGGATATCCAGTTTAGCGTATCGAGGGTCTTCTTGTCAGTTTGAAAATCTAGGACTTGGATATGACACAGTAAAAGTACTCATACCTATTTTAAAAAACATTGTGAGAGGGAGCTGGAATTGCTCACCGTGAACCTTGTGCAGGTAAGAATGCCTTAAGTGTATAAGTTTTTCTTTGGCTATTTTTTAAGGATGTAACATTTTAAAAGAGGATTAAACTACAAACATAGGAAAAACTATTAGCCTCCAATAAGACATTCTTTTTCAGAAATTTAAACCTACTGTCTGTTGCAATAGCTGTGGTATTATTCAATATACATGAATTTGTATATGAGATTCAACAGTTTTATTTTAACTTTATTCCAGATTTCTCTGTTACTGATTTCTGTGAAAATAAAAGAAGAAATAGAAACTTCATTAAGTTCTGGATTAGCACCTTTAGCCACCTTCATGAATCAACACCTTCTTATATACTTAAAATGAAGACATGCCTTTCTTTCTTCCCATTTCATAAACACGAATTGAAGGAGAAGACACACTTTTTAAGAGAGAGGAAAGATAAAAAAAAAGAAGAAAGGAAACCTTCAAGGCATGCTTGTGCTTCCTTTAACTTTCTTTCCACAGCAATTTGTAGCAAACAGGACAGCTGGTCAAAACTGCGAACTCTGAGAGTTGATGCTGTGAGGAGAAGCAATGGTTGGCCATCTTCACCTTTGGCTTCAGACTGAACAGTTGCTTCGCTAGAAAAATTAAATTATATCTTTTTAAAATAAGAACTTTAATAAACAGCAAATTTTAGAGAAGAATCCTGAATGGTATTCAAGCTTCACATGATAAAGCATATACAATTTCTTTAAACTGGATTTCTGAAAACTTCAGAGGTAAGCCAATTTATTCACTGCAAATCAGACATCTGTAACTCATTTGTTTTACCTTGGCAACATCTTTAAATAGAATTTTGACAGGCTGAATTGTGAAAAACTATTCTTACAGGACTGGTCACACCTGCTGTTTGGCCTCACAAAATATTCACTCGTATTCTGCATGTTCCTTCTACAAGACTGCTAAGTATTAGGTTCATAAATGACAACTGACTTAAAATGATATAAATGTATATTTCTATTTGGAAAGAACTCTCTGGTGGAAGGGAATAAAATATTTTCTCAGAATTAGGGTATTTCTACAGCGTTACCTAAACAGAACCTGAATTTGACAACTTATCAAGGAAAATTCTGAAAATTTTCCAGTACCTTTGTGATTTAGCCAAGAAAAATGATTGTGTGCATCCATTGCACCTTGCTATGTTATTGTTCAAAGAATCACAAAAACTAAATAGAGTTACTATCGTATAAGCCTTAGGTATCATTGGAAAATCAGTCAGCACCAGATTAAAAAAGAAGCATAAACCTCTTGATCATCATTATTTTTTCAGCACTAATTTTCAAATACTAAAAGAACCGTTAGAATATTTGATAAGTAAGCTACAGCAGTATAACTACTGATTAAGACTGAAACCATGTTAGTATATTAAAACTGCCTACTTAGAAAGAACTTGGAGATTGCTGTTCACAAAGAAGCTGTAATGCAAGACTGTGCTTGTTAATCCGCCTCAGTAACAGCAGTAAAACACCTATGCTTAATCAGAATACTAAAAGAACCGTTAGAATATTTGATAAGTAAGCTACAGCAGTATAACTACTGATTAAGACTGAAACCATGTTAGTATATTAAAACTGCCTACTTAGAAAGAACTTGGAGATTGCTGTTCACAAAGAAGCTGTAATGCAAGACTGTGCTTGTTAATCCGCCTCAGTAACAGCAGTAAAACACCTATGCTTAATCAGGAGTGTATTGGGTTTGCATGGCAAGGTTTTGGTAGCGGGGCGGCTGCAGGGGTGGCTGCTGCGAG